TGCACAGGATTCTTTGAAAGATATATAGCACTACAGTTATCACAAAAAAATTGAATAGGTTTAAAAAATAATTCATAATCACCCAATTGATGAGACATTCATAGTAACTGTGCACAATATTGTCCGATGGCAATGTATTCAGCCTCTGTAGTGGATAATGCAACAGATCCTTATTTTTTACTATTCCATGAAATCAAGGATTTTTCCAGTAATTGACACGTGTCACTGATGCTTTTCTTGTCTTCCTTGTCACTTGCAAGATCAGTATCTGAAAAAACTTCTAATTTAAAATTGTTAGAGCGTGGATACCATAGTCCATGAGAAGTAGTTCCAATGAGATAATGAATAATTCTCTTTACTGCAATCAGATGAGGCTCCTTAGGAGCTGACTGAAATCTGGCATATTTGCAAATACTGAACATAATATCTGGTCGACTAACAGTTAGGTAAAGTAAAGAACCAATCATTCCATGATATTTTATTTCATCAACGGGATTTCCCTTTTCATCTTTATCAAGATTTGTTGTCGGGCTCATAGGTGTGCCAATAGCTTTAGCATTGCTAATGCCAAATTTCTGAATTAGCTCATTGGTATATTTCGTCTGGCATAAGAAGGTTCCTTCTTCAGATTGTTGGATTTGAAGTCCAAGGAAAAACTTTAGCTCTCCCATCATACTCATTTCAAATTCTCTTTGCATAAGCGTTGCGAATTCCTTGCACAACAAGGGGTTAGCACTACCGAAGATAATATCATCAACATAAACTTGAATAATAAGATTACCCTCTAAAGATCTTTTGGTGAATAGAGTAGTGTCTACTTTACCTCTTATAAACCCGTGATCAAGTAGAAATTAACTGAGTCTTTCGTACCATGCTCGTGGAGCTTGTTTAATTCCATATAGTGCCTTGGTTAACTTATACACATGATAAGAAAACTTTGAGTTTTCAAATCCAGGAGGTTGTTTTATATATACTTCCTCCTCAATGAAACTATTTAAGAAGGCACTCTTGACATTCATCTGGAAAAGTCTGAATTTCTTGAAGGTTGCATATGCAAGAAGAATTTGTATTGACTCTAGTCAAGCTACTGGTGTAAAGGTTTCATCATAGTCGACTCCCTCTTGTTGAGAATATCCTTGAGCTACTAATCTGGCTTTGTTCCTTATGACTTTTCCATCCTCGTTGAGCTTATTTCTGAAGACTCATTTAGTTCAAATTACAGTAGCGTCTGCAAGCTTAGGCATCAATTTCCATACTTGGTTATTATCAAATTGATCCAGTTCATCCTGAATGGCATGAACCCAACTTGAATCTTTGATAGCCTCGTATATCTTCTTTGGTTCAATCTGGGAGATCAAGGCTAAGTTTGCTTTCTTCTTGTGAGCTCCTCTGGTTTTCATCCCTTCACTTGGATCTCCTATGATAAACTTCTGAGGATATTCTGGTTCACTCCTCAATTCATTTGGTCGTGTTATGCTTGTAGGAGTAGTTGACTCTATCTGTGCTTCTGGTTGACTGTTGCTAATTTCATCAGTCGACTCTGTGACATTTTCTACCCTGTTAGCCGACTCTTGGAGATTGCTTGACTGAGTTGTTTCTTGATTTTGATCTTCATCACCTGCGATGATTCCTTTCTCGGTCAAAGTGTTATTTTCATCAAATACTACATGTACTGATTCTTCTATAGATAAAGTGCGTTTATTATAAACTCTAAATGATCCATTATTTATAGAATAACCTAGAAAAATAATTTCATCACTTCTTGGATCAAATTTACCAAGATTTTCCTTAACATTGTTGTGAATAATACACTTTCTTCCAAAATTATGGAAGTAGCTTATGTTGGGTCGTTTACCTTTCCACAGTTCGTATGGAGTTTCCCTCAAGATTGGCCTTTTGAGACATCTGTTGAGAATATGGCAGGTTGTACTTACTGCTTCTGCCCAAAAGTGATTTGGCAATGAGTATTCTAGTAATATGGGTCTAGCCATATCTTGTAGAGATCTATTTTTCCGTTCCACTACCATATTCTGTTGAGGTGATCTTGGGGCTGAAAAAATGTGAGTGTATCCTTGATCATTGCAGAATTCTTCAAATGCTCTGCTCTCAAATTCTCCTTCGTGATCACTTTGAATGGTTGTAATAAGATATTCATTTTCTCGTTCAACTCTTTTACAGAAGATCTCAAAGTTTTTCAAAGCTTCATCTTTGTGAGATAGAAAAATCACCCATGTAAAACGTGAGTAGTCATCAATAATAACAAATGCATATTATTTTCCTCCTATGCTAGCAGTTCTAGTAGGTCCAAATAAATTCATATGAAACAGTTGTAAAGTCTTAGATGTGGACACAATGTCTTTGATTTTGAAAGAGTTCCTAGTCTGTTTACCAATCTGACATGCATCACACACATGAGTTATAGAAAAATTGAGTTTGGGAAGACCAATAACTAAATCATGCTTGGATAGTTTATCTATAAGATGCATGCTTGCATGACCAAGTTTCTTATTCCATAACCATGGATCATAAGACATGGATGTTAAGCGATATGACCATTATATTTTCGAAGCCATCAAGAATGTAGACATTTTCATACCTTTTTCCCGGAAGGATTAATTTACCTGACTCGTCTTCAGTAGCACAACCTATTTTCTTGAAATTTACCTTATATCCGGAATCACACAGTTGGCTTATACTTAGCAGATTGTAGTTGAGTCCATCTACGAGATAGACTTCAGTGATATCGCAGTTGTTATTGAATGGGATTGTGCCATATCTTCCCCTTTGAGTCATCTCCAAATTTAACACTTCCACCATTTATTTTAGTGACATCTTTGAATGGGTTTTTTCACATGTCATATGGCTGGAACACGCACTATCTAGGTACCATTTTCCTTTGCGGCTCTTTCTATGGTGTTCCTGCAAAATGTAACAATTACTTTCTCTTAGGTACCCAAGCTTGCTTGGGTTCTTGTTGGTTAGTATTACTAAGAAAGTTGTCTTTGGGTTTCCAAATCCACCCTGGAACATTTGATTTTCGAAAACGACAAAAGGAATATTTATGCCCACTTTTATTACAAAAGTGACATACAGAAGGTGATCCATCTTTGGATCTTCCACTAGTGCTTGTGGACTCTGTTCTGGTTGGTCCCTTTTTCGGTTGACTTGTAAGTCGTCTGGTTGGACTTAACAGTACTATGACTGGTGGATTTGCGTATGCCATTGAGTTGCATTTGCAATTCCTGAAATTCTTCTTGAAGTACTTCTTTTTCAATTTCACATACTTCAAGCTTGAGTTTCCAGTCTTTCTTTTCCCTATTGAGTCTCTTTAGTTCATTCATCAACTTTTGAGACTCTTTTAAAGTAAGGTCAAGAATATCATGCAATTCATTGCATATTTCACAGTTATAAGATCTTACCTCGCTTGTTTCATCTCGTGCCATAAAACAGTTTTCATTTTCATCCTTGCATTCGTCATCTGAAACATCTTCATCTGTCCAGCAGTCTAAAATTTTTTATGTCATTTTCCAGAATTGTCATGAAGCACAGATTTGCTATTTCTTCTGGTTCTGAAACGTCTTCATCACTCCAGCTTCCAAAGGATTTATTCTTGTTAAATCCTCTGGCAACTTTTCTTTTTAGATCTGGGCATTCAACTTGTACATGTCTGTATCTTCCACATTCATAACATTTTCCAACATTCTTATCATGCTCATTGTATTGCCTGGTTCGCCTTAATGACATTCTTCCTCTTTTTGTGTTTCTGTAGCTTCTCATTAGACCATCCATGTTCCTTGATACCATGACAATTTCTTCCTTTAGGGCTTCAGGATCATCGCCAATATCATTTTCTGTCCTGTCAGTTGTAGCCTTAAATGCGACTGTTTTCTTCTTTTCTTCCTGGGTTGTTTTCTTGAGATGAGTCTTTTTAAATGTTATGAGATCCCCTCGAAGTTCATCATACGATAATTTGTTTAGATCTTGTGATTCAAGTGCAACTACTTTTGTCTGCCAAGTCGTAGAGAGACTTCTCAGAATTTTCCGAACTTGATCACCACTTGTATATGGTTTACCAAAAGCTTTTAGATCACTGATGATTTTGCTAAACCTTGCAAACATTTCTTTAATGGATTCTCCTTCTTTCATCTGGAAGAGTTCGTAATTATGAAGCAACATATTAAAATGTGTTTCTTTCACTTTGATGGTTCCTTCATAAGTGATTTCTAGTTTATCTCATATTTCTTTAGTTGTATCACAACTAGATATTTTTTCATATTCTTCTCCACTTATAGCATTATAGAGTAGATTTCTGGCCGTAGCATTGACTTGAACAACTTCCATCTGCTCGTCTGTATATTCGTCTATATCTTCCGGATCAGTAGCAGGTTGTGCTGCTACGGGCAGTGGATAGTTCCCTTTCTTGATTACTCGCCAAATTTTGACATCATATGACTTTGCATATATTTCCATACGCATTTTCCAGTGAGAAAAATATTGTCCATTGAAATAAGGCATCCTGACTTGTGATGTTTCTTCTTGAAAGAGTGCTCCACAATTCCTTGGTTTGCCATGATTTTTTCTCACAGGCTGTTAGGCAAAGAAGAGTGAGACTAGCTCTGATACCAATTAAAAGAACAAGAGGGGGTGAATTGCTTATTTTAAAATAAGGTTATTATAAGTTGACTAGATTACCAATTAGTCGACTAGAAATAAAAGCGAGATAGTAAGAAGTGCAGAATTAAAATGCAGAAGTAAAGTGCAGGAATTAAAGACACCGAAGTTTTTATACTGGTTCGGATTCAATGTGAATCCTAGTCCAGTCCCCTTGGGTTACAAGGGTGTTCTCTTTCAGTGATTGAATTTCTTGAGTACAAAGTGAATGGTGTAGTTTTACACCAACTGCTCAGTTTCTATGTCTCTCGTATTTTCTTGATACAATGCCTCACCAATGATTTTTTCTCTTTCTTCTCTAACTTGTTACACAACAGATCTAGTAGAACTACAATGTTTGTTTGAAGTAGAACAAAGAGAGAGTAAATGGTTTGATCAAAGTATATCTCTGTAAGTCTGAAACTATCGTATATATACTTTCCAGGAGGCCTTAGAGTCTGGAGAGATATGCGAATCCAAGAGATTTGATCCTTGAAAGGAATCACAGATTGATTCTTTCCAAGAATAAGGTAGATTCTCTTGATACTTCCTTGATAAGTGGACTTTGATAGCTTTCCATCTTTAAGCCTTGGTATCCGACGGATTTCTAGTGTTGGCTATGCCTTTGCCGAACCTTTAGTACTTCTTTTCTTTTTATTGTTGATAGCTTCAATCATCTTCTGATTGATATCTTCCTTCAGCTTTGATTGATTATCTATTTCCGGACCTTTATTGTTTTGCTGATTCCTTGATTGCTTTAGTCAAACTTTAATTGATACTTTCCTTTTTACTTTGATTCTGATTGATTTTCTTGAGTCCCTACATCAAACACAAATATATTATTTTTCATCATTAAAATTAAAATCTGACAAAGTCCTCGGAATTCTCTGTGACATACTTTTATTACAGTTATTCAAAGGTTCGTCAATAACATGAATAAAAAGTAGAAAATTTGTTTGTTTGAAATTTGGGAGTAAAGGTTGGTCCTACAACTCCTAGAAAATAAAATGGATAATTGAAAATTTAGAGCCTGAAAATTAATTTGTTGAACCAATATTATACCACAAATTAGATGATATATAAAGAATTACATACCTGCCTAGGTTGATAGAATCATCAATGAGATCCACATTCCTGTGGTATTGTCTCCCTTCATTTGCGCAACCAAGGAGTATTGAGCTCCTCCTCAAATCCACATATCAACAGGATGTTAACGAATGATGACGTCAGATGAACAACCAACCCATCAAGATTCAAGAACGCATGAACGAGAACAGAAACTAACTAGTATTTTATATATGCACGAGCATCTGAGCCACATATCACGGCTCGATTGACCACAAACACAATTTTAATCCACAAAGACCATTACTAAAAAGGAATTTCAGAAACACTCCAGCTAACTACCAATGAAGTCATTTCCCATCATGATAAATGCTCGTAATTCATACATGTATTAGTTATGCGGGAAAAATATATTATATTATATTAGCAATGCTATGTTTTATGTAAAACAACGAAAAAATCAACAAAACATTGTATAACTTATTTTATGTGGGGATTATTTTTTTTTATTTTAGTAAGCAAATATATATATATATATATACATATATATAATTATCTATTGTTGGTGTATAAAACTAACCATTTCTACTGATTTTGTTAATTTGTTGAAGGTGTCAATTGAACTTGAAAAAATACGACATCGGCATTTCCCAATAAGAGAATCCTAGAATATCCAAAATCAAGTAGTCAACCGAAATAGACATTTGTTTTCATCTACGAGAAAAAACACTGAAGATCACTACACACTTGACTTTCAAGTGCTAAGAATGTCATCTATTTCCTCCTTTGCATTTTGAATCTTGAGCCACGATCAACACTTAGCTTGATATCAAAGGCACCAGCACGTTCTACAATACTTCCAGTAAAAGTCTGCACGGTGCTGAGGGTACCCGTGCAGTTTGAAACACTTATCTTTACTGTGTCCTGGCTTCTTACAATACTCACAAAACAGACGATGCGTGTTCGACGAATATCCTCCTCTATTTGCATTGTTCCCAGCATTGTATCCATTTGTACTATAATTGGTCTTTAAATTGTTGTTTCCAGCACTTGCATTAAGAGATGCAGATTCCATCACAAATTGATTGTGTGGCTTAACTTCCCTTTGTTTTTTCTCTTGAATGAGCATGGCAAATGCTTGTGCAATGCTAGGTAGTGGACTCATCATCAAAATACTGCCTCTCACCAGTGTATACCTTATTCAACCCCATTAGGAACTGAATTAATCGCCTATCCTGTTCTGTCTTGTGCATGTTTGTCTTAGCTCCACAGGTACAGGTACAATTGCATTGAGCGTGTGCATTTAGGGTATTAAGTTCTTCCCAAAGCTTCTTCATTTTGGTATAGTAGCCAGTGATGTCCAAAGTTCCTTGGCTTAAATCGCCGATTACCTTCTGAAGCTGATACAACTTAGCACCGTTGGTTTGGTCATATCTATCTTCCAATTCCTGCCATAATTCCTTCGCATCCCTAACATATTGCAGACTATCAGCCAAATCTTTCGACAGTGAGTTGAGAATCCACGAAGTGACCATATCGTCGCATCGTTCCTATTGATCAAAAGTGGTGTGACCCACATCTGGCTTCTTAACCTTTCTTGTGATGAATCCGACCTTGTTCTTCACAAATAACGCCCTAAGTACTCCTCTCCTCCAGGATCTATAACTGGTGTCGTCGAAAGCCATCGACATCAGCATTGTTCCGGCGTTCTCTGGCGGATGCATGTATAAAGGACTAGACAAATCCAAAGTTTCTTTGTCTCCTGCATGAATCAAAGTGTGTGAATCAAATCGCGATCGAACACCAGTCAAAATCAGTGGAAGTAATTTTCTTCTGCAACTCTTGCCCTGATTGAGTCGAATCGGTAATTTCAAAAGAGACGAGTGAGGAAATTGAGTGACTGAATAGAGAATCGAAGCCTAGGCTCTGATACCATGACAAAATATTGAGGGTCAGTGATGTATTCGAGCTCAGATTGAGCTCCAATGGAGGAAAGGGAAAAACACCCACACAGGGAAGGTTCGAGAAACAGACTGAAGCAGCGAGAAATGAATTTTTCTTACTTACAAAATATTTGTACAATACACTTATACACATACACAGACTCTAACACCTTATTAAACTTATAGCCTAAATATTTACAGAAATAGCCTATGTAGTACAATGTGGCTAACTATTAAATAATCTCAACAGGAGTCGTGGAGAGAAGCACAAATGGGCTCATGCTGGGTAAGAGTGAACTAAATGGACGGAATCATACCTTATTTTCACTTTCAGCCATCATAGGAACTTTAGTATCTTCCTTCATTCGATTCTGTTGGAGCATTCTCTATGCAAAGACTGTCATTAACATCATAATTTAGGTGCCAATGGAGATTTCAGCTGCAAAAAGTCCAGTCAAATAGGACCATTTTCTAATATAATTAATAGGAAGTAGTAAATCCAGAATTAAATGCTAAATATTGAATTCTTAATCATAAAATTTACTAACTTTGTTAGGAACACACCATGTGGACTCCAAGTATGGGTAAAATTTTCAGCAATCAGCAGTACAAAAGTTCTGCTGATGATATGAAACAGAACATTCAGAATTAACACAGGTACAACGGCTATCTCATACAATACAACATCCTTTTTGTTCTTCACTGTCCTTTTGCTCCTCGGACCCAAAAATCATTCCTTAAACTCGGATGATTTGGTTTCTCAATTGATCATCCTTCGATCTCAATCTTCCACAGGTGTCATTCACCTTTCTAATAAACTACGTAGACGAATTTTATCGATACCTGTCCCTAGGCCATTTTCTTCCGTTATATTCTTCGATTCACAGAAGCTACATTCAGAGCCAGAGATTTCACTTCCAAGTCATAAAAAAGAGTTCTTGCTTCTCTTCTCCTCATTCCACACAAACAATCCACATAACAAGAAGTTATTTTTCTTTGACATTGGTTTCAAGATTCACAAGCTTCTTTTGCTCTATTTGGAGTCAAGTCTCTTCTCTATTACATTTATGCCCACAATGCTTCTTTTTTTTTAAATTCGTGCTAAGCACAATGCTCAATATTCTTCATTTATTTCCTGAATCTCATATAGGCATTTGTCGTACAATTCTTCAGATGAGCTACAAACATCTTCACCTACAGTCTACAGTCGTGTTTCCCCCCATCATCTCTTCGCGTAACTTCTCAAACTAAATATCCATTGCCAGACCAACAAACACTACTGCTAGGCTTGACCTACTTCAAGCAACACGGATGATATGGCAGAACTGAGGAAGACGTCCGACAATCATACCTTTGATGTTTGAGATCCAGGTGGCAAGAAAGGCTCCCACCAACCCGATTCATACTTGGGATATGGTGTTGTCCACTTTTCTGGCTTTTCAAACTCAAGACTAACAGGAGTACATCTTCTAAACTGTCAGCCTCAAAGCTCTCTTATAAAACTCTGTCTAGCCTCAACTGCAGGTTGAAAATATGCAAATTTTGTCCTTGTACTATACAAAATATCTTAATTTTACTATCTGTTATATTGGGGTTATTTATACACTTGTCGTTAGCAAATTATCTCGTATGCCCTTGACTTTAATAGCACTCCAGCATGGACTGGGTGATTAAAGCTTGCATATTGAAGACTCTGCCTTTCATCAGACAGGAATATGGAGTAATTAGTGTCTCAATTATTTAAAGATGAGCGCCCCTTACGTGATCCACAGGCAATTTGTTGAAACAAGAGCTACAGCGGGTCGCTTGGTAATATTAGGGAATTTATCCAAGAACTTGCGCTCAATCACAAGGCAAAATCCTGTTCTTTGTTGTGCTCTCCGAAAAGGCGAAGACGCTCAAACAATTGCTCCTTGAAATGCTCCTCTTCGTCTAGCATAAATTTGGCATTGCAACAAGAAAATAGTACTTCTTCCTTTATGTCCCTTCCTGTATATGCAACAGAATGCCAGCGTTAAGATTCCTAATGCTAAAACTAAAGCAAATGGCCTAAGGAAACTCCACCTACCATTGTATAACGGAAATGAGCAAAGGCAAATGTATTTCTGCTACAAGTCTTAGCCAAATAGGGAGTTATCTAAAATAATTTCTTTTCCTTTTTACAGGAATAACACGTGCCAGATTACAGCATAAATACTCATCAGAAACTGTGAGCAGGACTAGAAAAAACAAACACTTAACACTACTCATCTTTTGATCGGTACAGTGTCTTCAGGGAACCCAGTGGCGGCGCCACATTGACCCATGGGTTGTCCTTTGAATCCGCTTTGCCAGAAATATACATTGTGCAAAGGTGAATTCTTTTTTTTTTTTAATTGTACATAAATTGATTGTTGAATCCCATTAACACAAGGGAAGTTTCGTTTGTAGTGACAAAGGGGGTTCAACAAATGTTTTAGGTCATCAGTTCGACTCCCCGCTGTGGCATTTTAGCATTTGAATTCCCTTGTCTAGTCCTGTCTGCGCCCCTGGGGCACCATTATCCATAATGTAGAACTAAGAAATCTCGGTTTTAATCAGAAAGGGGGAGCTAATGAAAAGGGTAAAAACATCGAGCAATTGTAAATGAGGCCGAAATAATCCCGGAATTCCCTACATGTATAGAAAGGATACTTTCCTTTTGGCATCCATTGTACATACCAAAGTACTACCTTTTTGGTGATTATTAATCTACAAGTTTACATTACCTTCTCAAAAATATAGTGAGCAATGGACAGTTTTACACTCAAGTGGCCAAGAGGATCAGGTCAATGTAGAATATCCTTCTTTTACTGCTCCTATAGAAGAATTGGTTCGGACTTAATTTAGCTAATATATATATATATACCTTTTTTTTAAATTTCAACTATATAGCTCGAGCTAGAGGCAGTAGGTACGCTCATCCTCTGCCTTAACTATACAAGCTGGCTAGAACCAATGGCGGAACCAGGAATTTACACAAGGGGATTCCAAAAAATACTACAATGTCTAACCACTTGTGATCTTAAACAATTTTGAACCCCCTTTGTCACTACACTAGATTTTTTTCCTTGTGTCAAGGGGATTCAACAATTTCTATATAACCAAAAAAAATTATTTTCTTTCTCTATTTTCATAGTATAACTTTTTGACGAAGGAACTTCAATTGAATCCCCTTACTCCTAGCTGGCTCAGCTCCTGGCCCCAACACCATATAAGCAGACAGACAACGCATCCCTCAACCAATATGAAAAAAACAACCATCCCTACTAATATGGGACACATAACAAGAGGAATCAAACCCCTAAAGTTGGTTGCAATGCACTAAGATACAATTGTGAAAGGAGAGAATCAAGAGTATTATAACCTTGAAGCACTGGTTCTACTGCTGCATCCGGGATAAGCAACCCTACAATTCGTTGATTGTCAGTAGTTGTCACAATCCGTACAATGCGGATTCTCTGATGGCTTTGGCGAGCCTGTATCCAACAACAATTGGGAACCAATAAACGAGTGAGGATGGTGCAACAACCCTTTTAGAAGAAAATTATCTCTCTCGACGCAAGAAATACAGCACAAACGATCGTAAGCAAAATTTCTGGTGCCTCGTGAAATATCAGATTGAGCCTGCTCACTTTAAACCTACAGTATCCCTTTTTTGTGCGGCAAGTGTCAACTATGGTAGTGATATCTGGCAGTTGGAATACTGTACTTGAATCTTGATAAATCAACTAAATTTACTGGCAAATGATTTCAGCCAAAGAATAGCACGATGTGCTATCTAATTCATTGGTAACTTCACTTGTATTAGTGTTACATAATGAAAAGCGGAAAAAATCAGTCATGACCACCTATCTTCCTCACATATAAAAGTACATGCAGAGGGAAAACAGCAAACAGTCAGAACCCAGAACCTTCAGATCAGAAGATAAAACCATCTATAGTGAATCAGCCAAAAATCTGTGAAACAGTAGGGATGCAGGCATTGTCATGTTGGTGTGGGATAGATAGAAACACTTTTATGTGAAGTAAAGAAACCAGAATTAATCAAATCTCTCCAAGTAAGATTCAAACCTACAACAGAATATTATTAGCTTCTTTCTAGATGGATGGATCTTTTCTATTTTATATGGAAGCATCTCTGGTCATAATTGAATATTATTAGCCTTTTTTTTTCTTTTCAAATGTACATGTATTGATTGTTGAATCCCATTAACACAACGGAAGTTTCTTTTGTAGTGACAAAAATGTTTTAGGTCATCAGTTCGACTCCCCGCTGTGGCATTTTAGCATTTGAATGTCCTGTCTCCGCCACCATTATCCATATTGTCAAACTAAGAAAGCTCGGTTTTAATCAGAAAGGGGGAGCTAATGAAAAGGGTAAAAACATCAAGCAATTGTAAATGAGGCCGAAATAATCCCGGAATTCCCTACATGCATAGAAAGGATACTTTCCTTTTGGCAGCCATAAGTAACCTTTTTGGTGCTTATTAATCTATAAGCTTACATTACCTTCTCAAAAATAGTGAGCAATGGACAGTTTTACACTGAAGAACAGTATAAAACCATAAAAAAATAACTGAGAAAAGAGGTGTTACTTCAGATATAAAAAACCTACATATATAAATGGTGCTGTCCCCTTTTCCGGCATTTCAAAGTCAAGACTAACAGGAGTACATCTTCTAAACTCAAAGCTCTCTTGTAAAACTCTGTCTAGGGTTTCGAAAACAGATCAGGAGATATATAGAAAATATGCAAATTTTGTCCTTGTACTGTACAAAATACTATCTTAATTTGAAAGAAACAAGCACCAAGGCAAAAAGAGTATACAAAACTGATGCAATGAGATATTTTCTTCAGTGTTTGATTAGTAGCTTATTGTAATTAATCTTGGCTATATAGCCAAGAAGAATTACAACAAGTTATTATCAAACACTTTCTATTCTTCTTGGATGATTTGTTTTCCTCCATTGGCATTGAATATATAGAGGAGAACATATTCATCCAACGGCAAGCAGAAGCAGATATCGACCCGTGAAAGCAGAAATCGACCCGTGAATTCTCCATATGGAGAGGCAAGCACAAATGCACAGTGAACTCATTGGGAACTTGACAGAGACGAACAAGGAATATGCGGAGCATATCCGTCTTATGTTTTTGGGCTGGGGTTTATGGAAAATTGACAAGTGAGCCCACCCAATTGATATCCCATTATTATATAGTACAACCTAGCAAACAAACAAAAAAACAATTTAAATAATTTTCCAATTTGGATTACAAATTAAGTCAACTTTAAATATGTTAAATTTGTGCGGAGCAAAATGAACCTGTTTAATAAATGGAATACACTCCAGGCGAATCATACACCCTTAATATAAAGGATAAAACATTGAGAATCGCATGCAAATGCTTATTCTAGGTGATTGTAGATGTGATTAAAACGATTCAATCATTTAAAATAATAATTCTTTTTTAGAAAAATAGTGAAAAGTTCCTTTTACATATAAACCCAAATGATTTCGAAAATCATACGCAAGTTGATTCCGTTTTCCTTAGCGTTTTGGGTATTTCGAGTTGCAGATCGAGTTCCATCATGAATGTTATTTGCAGGGTCGGAACCTTGGTTTGCCTCGATGGCCAGATGTGAGTTAACGTCTATTGGTTCCTTGACCCGAGCTCCAACAGGATCGATAAGTGGCCTTTCACCCCCGGGTGTTAAGTTGTTATTTTCATCTTGAAGGCCAGCTTCGTTGTCGATAGGTTGGGCCATTAATTGAGAATTCGTAGTTTTCAGCCTGAAATCAAAGACATTTCAAAGAGCAAGTGTAAAATAGTGTGTTTCATAGAGATTCGTACCAAATAACCAATATTATCCTTAGCCCCACGGTGAGCGCCAAACTGTTTACCCGAAAAACGGATATAGTTGAATTTATACGTAGTTCTAAGGATACGTGGTATAGCTTGGTACAAATCGAAAAAGTATATAGAAAATTATCGAATATTGACTGTAAAAGAATACTTCGACCCAAGTTCCAGATCAAAGGGGAATCGAGGACGTTATACTTCGGGGCAAAGAACTCGTCGAAGAGGCGGTTGACAAAGATGCAGGGACCGAGCTTTAGGTTCCCCGAGATGGAGACGGTACCTCGAAAAACATGATCGGGGAAATAGAAATCGGTGATTCCCCTTCTTTTCCTTCATTTTCCCCAAGCCGTAGAGGATTATCATGGGGAGGGGGTCCATGGAGAGGAAGATCCTTTCCATGGTTATTGTTTTGGGGATTGAAGATGTTGCCGGTCCGAGCGATTAAGAAGTTTTGAAGAAGAGCTCGGGCAAAGCGGAGATTCCTCGTATTTTCGACGAAGCTCAGCAGGCCCTGAATCGGGTAAGTTTGCTTTCCCTTTATCAATTTTCATACTTGTATTTTTCTCTTTTGTATAACTCCATTTTATCTTTTGTAGGCTTTTACGCTCTGTCACGAAGCGTTTTTCCGATCTCTAGAGGAGCTAAGCCGGTCTGAAGCCGAAATTTGAAGGCTTACTGAGGAGAGAGACACCTTCAAGCTTCTCATTTAGCAGAAGGAATGAGAAGCAAAAGGACGTCGGGCCAAGCTAGAAGCAGCTCGGAAAAAATAAAACGACTTGTTCGAGCAGGTAAAGAGGATCCTTGAAGTTACTGATACTGATTTGGGCGTGACGGCTAATAGTTCGGTCTCGCATGTTCAGCAAAGGCTCGATGTGATTGGGCAACTTCGTGCTAAGGTAGACGCAGTGAAAGCGGGGGACGAAAAATGGAAAAAGAACATGGATCACTTTGCCGCTGAAAAGGAGACCGCCCGGGCTCAACTGGCCTCGGTCGAGGAACAACTTCGGAGCTTGAAAAAGAGAGCCTTGGTGCAAGTCAAGAATATCGAGGAGTTCCAGTATCGGTTGGACTCAGTGACTTCTGATCGAGAAAGATTGTCCTCGGAACTAGCAGCGGCCAAATCGGGGCCCGAAATAGCCATGGCTAATGTTGACGCAATGGTGGTTATTTATCGATCTGATGCTGGAGCCGCTCAAGTTTGAGCAAAGGAGGTTGCCGAGGCTGCTCAAGATCGATCAAATTGGGTTGTCGAGCATGCTAAATGCCAATCTCAAGGGAGACTGCAAAAGAGCTTGAAGTTGAAGCCGAGATCGAGAATGCAAAAGAGCTTGAAGCCGAAGCCAGAGTGTTGGTCTTTTCCGATGATGATGATACCGGGAGTATGAGTGGTTTTGAGAGCGGAGGCCTCGAGGGTGAAGATGCTGCTCCTGGAGAGGACTAAGCCCTTTTAGTATTTTTCTTCTTCCTTTTAAGGCCGTTTTGGTCTTTTTGTAGAAACACTTGATCGGACATGGTTCCCTTGTAAATAATTTTGGTATATAAAAGCTTAGTCTTTCTTTTTGTGGCTTCCGAATCTTTTCACTAATTTATACAAAGGCCAAAAGGTGCCTCAGCATGAGATAATTATTTGAAAGTCCGAGTGAGTGTTCGAACTCGATCATTTCTTATAGGTAGTCCCTGAGTGGGTGTTCGAATTTGAATTGAGATAGCTTTTTTAAATAGGGTTCAAGTGAAATGATTTGTTCGAACTTGAATTTGTGTAGCCCTTAGGCTTTATGGTTGAGTGAGAACGATTTCTCGAACTCGAGTTAAGGCAGCCCTTAGGCTTTTTAGGCGAGTGAGAATGATTTCTCGAACTCGAATTAATGGCAGCCCTTGGGCTCGATAGATAGTCCTCGAGTGAGAATGTTTGTTTGAACTCGAGTTAGGGTAGCCTTTAGGCTTTTATAGTCGAGTGAGGATTTGCTCGAACTCGAAATAAGAATAGCCCTTAGGCTTAGTGGTCCAGTGAGGACTTGCTCGAACTCAAAATAAGGTAGCCCTTAGGCTTTGTAGTCGAGTGAGTGTTTGCTCGAACTCTAATTAAGGTAGCTCTTAGGCTCGATAGATAGTCCCCGAGTGAGAATGGATTCTCGAACTCGAGTTAGGGTAGCCCTTAGGCTTTATAGTTGAGTGAGGATTTGCTCGAACTCGAAATAAGAATAGCCCTTAGGCTTATCGGTCGAGTGAGGACTTGCTCGAACTCGAAAAAAGGTAGCCCTTGGACTTTAAAGTCGAGTGAGTGTTTGCTCGAACTCGAATTAAGGAAACCCTTGGACTCGATAAATAGTCCCCGAGTGAGAATGGTTGCTCGAACTCGAGTTAGGGTAGCCCTTAGGCTTTATAGTTGAGTGAGGATTTGCTCGAACTCGAAATAAGAATATCCCTTAGGCTTAGCGGTCGAGTGAGGACTTGATCGAACTCGAAATAAGGTATCCCTTGGGCTTTGTAGTCGAGTGAGTGTTTGCTCGAACTCAAATTAAGGTAGCCCTTAGACTCGATAAATAGTCCCCGAGTGAGAATGGTTGCTCGAACTCGAGTTAGGGTAGCCCTTAGTCTTTATAGTCGAGTGAGGATTTGCTCGAACTCGAAATAAAAATAGCCCTTAGGGTTAGCGGTCGAGTGAGGACTTGCTCGAACTCGAAATAAGGTAGCTCTTGGGCTTTGTAGTCGAGTGAGTGTTTGCTCGAACTCGAATTAAGGTAGCCCTCATGCTCGATAGATAGTCCCCGAGTGAGAATGGTTGCTCGAACTCGAGTTAGGGTAGCCCTTAGGTTTTATAGTCGAGTGAGGATTTGCTCGAACTCGAAATAAGAATAGCCCTTTGGCTTAGTGGTCGAGTGAGGACTTGCTCGAACTTGAAATTAGGTAGCCATTGGGCTTTGTAATCGAGTGAGTGTTTGCTCGAACTCGAATTAAGGTAGCCCTTAGGCTCGATAGATAGTCCCCGAGTGAGAATGGTTGCTCGAACTCGAGTTAGGGTAGCCCTTAGGCTTTAGAGTCGAGTGAGGATTTGCTCAAACTCGAAATAAGAATAACCCTTAGGCTTAGTGGTTGAGTGAGGACTTGCTCGAACTCGAAATTAGGTAGCCCTTGGTCTTTGTAGTCGAGTGAAAATGATTTCTCGAACTCGAATTAACGGCAGCCCTTGGGCTCGATGGACGAGTGAGTGTTTAGTCAAACTCGAAGTAACGTAGCCCTTAGGCTTATGTGGAGCTTGATCTCGTTGATTTTTCGGTTGGCAGTCCCCGATTTATGGGGTAATATTTCAAACTCCGGTCATGGTCAGCCCTTGAGCTTGTTTGCATAATAGATCATGAAATAGAAAAATCTTTCTGAGATATGAGATATCGGTAAGAAGAAATTTCTCTTTACAAGTCATTATACATGCGTTCATGTTTTGTTCCAGGGATCAAGCAAACTACACGGGCATGGTTCGTTTTGACCATTTGGCCCATACAATTTTTCCTATTGAAACCATGCTGCCATGAAGTGACTTTCTTGGATCGAACTTTACATATTCGAGGGTAATTCCCCCAATATTCGAGGTTGATTGTAAAGAGGATTCGGATACTGTTGAATTGTTCTAAGTTAGCATGATCAATGGTTGCCTCATTTAAACCCTTGCCGAAAAACCCATTCGGGACAAAACCGGTCTAAGGGAAAAAGAGTGCAACGCGTGCTTTCAGGACTAAAGGCTTCGAGTTTAATAATCCATCCGTGTTTCTGGTCGAACATCTTCAAGGTTTAATTTCGAAATATGAATGAACATGGGAGGGTCGTACCTTAGCAGTAGTATCGTTTTAGGTGCGAAACGTTCCAATTGCTTGGTAGTTGCTTGTCGTTTATCACGCCGAGCTTGTAGGACCCTTTTCTAACGATTTCGAGAACCTGATATGGTCCTTCCCAGTTTGGACCCAGTTTTCCTTCATTTCGATTTCGAGTGTTGGGGTGACTTTTCTTAGTACCAAGTCCCCGATTTTAAAATATCGAAGATTGGTTCTTCGATTGTAGTATCTTTTGATCCGCTGTTTTTGGGAGGCCAATCGGACGAGAGCGACCTCTCATTTTTCGTCCAATAATTCAAGGCTCGTGTTCATGGTCTCGTTATTCGACTCCTTTGTTGCATATCGAAACCTGATGCTAGGTTCTCCGACCTCAACCGAGATCAAAGTTTCGGCGTCATAGACCAACGAGAATGGCATTGCTCCGGTACTGGATTTTGATGTTGTGTGATATGCCCATATGACCTCAGGGGGTATTTCTTTCCATTTTCCTTTGGCGTTGGTCAATCTCTTCTTAAGATTTTGGATAATGATTTTGTTGGTCGATTCGGCTTATCCGTTTCCGCTGGGATGGTACGGTGTTGATAGGATCTTTTTGATCTTGTGATCCTCGAGAAATTTAGTTATTTTGCTGTCGATGAATTGTTTTCCATTATCACATAAAATCTCGACTTGCACCCCGAATCGACATATGTTGTGATCCCAAATGAAGTCTATCACTTCTTTTTCTCTGATTTTCTAGAAAGCCTGTGCTTCAACCCATTTAGAAAAATAATCAGTCATAAACAAAATAAACTTAGCTTTACCTTTGGCCGATGGGAGAAGGCCGACGATGTCCATTCCCCATTTCATGAAAGTCCATGGATATAGGACCGAATGGAGTAGCTACCCGGGTTGATGAATCACGGGCGCATGTCTTTGGCATTTGTCGCACTTTCGAACGAACTCCTTCGCATCTTTGCTCATATTGGTCCAATAATACCCTTCTCTGATCGCTTTGCGGACCAACGAATCGGCACCGGAATGGTTTCCATAAGTGCCCTCGTGAATTTTCCATAGTATGTAATCGGTATCTCCTAGTCCCAAACATATTGCCAATGGTCCATCGAAAGT